ACAGCGAACCGAAGAGAATTGATGCCATTGGGAAAAGTGTGTGTGTGTGTGTGGAGGGGGCAGTGCAAAACTTATGGAAGGACAACGGGAAAACGGAGACACACTATAAGCATGTCCACACGGTTGGGGGGTCAATGACACGAGCCCCTTCGCCGCGGGTCCAACGCCTCATGGAGGTGCACCAGACGGAAACACGTTCCAGGGTTGAGTGCCCAGAAACGAACAGCACAAGGGTGCCCCTTCAGGTCTCGGGCTGCTCTTAGCCCGTGTGCCACCTGTAGGCGTTTCCCACGGGACTGTATGCGTGTATGTATGTGTGTATGTGCGTATGTATGCATGTATGTATGTGTGTGTGTGTGTGTATGTCTGTCTGTCTGTATGTACGTACGTATGTGTTTAAGCATGCCTGTATATATATATATATATATATATATATATATATCCGCCGGCCCCCTTGTGGGGCCACTAGGCTGTAGGCGCGAGGTTCGCAGTTTCCTGTACCAGTCGTAGGTTGTAGCTTCCAGTGTTACAGTTCTGCTTCTTGCTGGTTACTGTAACTAGTTGATTGACCGCGCGAGGGGGGGGGACGCCCAAACGGGATTTTTAGCACCCCCTGGGCGCGTTGTCTGAATTGCTGGGGGGGCTCGAAACCGACACCCCTCACGCAGATCCGCGGGGTCAGGGTTCAAAAACACATGGGATTTGCCACATTTATGAAATTCGGTGCCACCCCTCACGCAGATCCGCGGGGTCAGGGTCCAAAAACACATGGGATTTGCCACATTTCTGAAATTCGGTGTCACCTCATTTGCGGTGCCATCACGCGCGGGGTCAGGGTCCAAAAACACATGGGATTTGCCACATTTCTGAAATTCGGTGCCACCCCTCACGCAGATCCGCGGGGTCAGGGTCCAAAAACACAGGGGATTTGCCACATTTCTGAAATTCGGTGCCACCCCTCACGCAGATCCGCGGGGTCAGGGTCCAAAAACACAGGGGATTTGCCACATTTCTGAAATTCGGTGCCACCCCTCACGCACATCCATCGCAAGGCGTGGTAAGCCAAACTGCGAGTACTCCCTCGGCCCTTTAATCCCAAGGTGTGGTAACCAAGCTCGTAAACCATACACGTCTTACCAATCGCCCTGTGTGGTAACCCCTCTTGTGATCAGTTGGTTTTGCCGATTGCGAATCGGCCTCGCATGAAGTTCCGATACTGCTGCACGACAGCGCCAAAGCCTCATGACTCAGCTCTCCCATGGCCCATTCTCCGAGAGAGGGGGCCGGCGGCAGGGGGCGAAGCCCTTACGGACATATGCATGCATGCATGCATGCATGTATGTATATGTACGTATGCCTGCAGATGTGTATCGGTATCTCTATATAGATATCTATACACACTCTCCCGCCCCAGCGCATGCGACGGTCTGAGCGCGGAGGCCACGGCCGACGCGCGCGGGAGGGGGCCCGACGCGGGCGGGCCCCCCACCATGGGCGCCGTCGGAGACGGGCGCCAGCAGAACACACAAATACGCACACGCACACGCACACGCACGACGCACGCGCACACACACACGCACGCACACGCACACGCACACGCAAACGCACACACATACGAACCCGCGCACACACAAACACCACACGCACACGGTTTGGAAGTCAGCGGCGCAGAGGCGCGGTCGGCAGGTGGAGGTACAAACTGCGAACGAACTTAGCCACACCCACACGCACACGCCCACGCAGACACACACAAATACACACAAACACACAAGCACAAGCACACACACATCCACGCACACACACACACTCACACACATTCACACACGCACACATTCAGATACACGACCATACACACACACGCATACACACAGACACACGAACGTCGGTTGCGTCGACGGCTGGGCAGAGGCCTACTGCTCCGGCGGCATGGCGACAGGGGACACCCTGTATGCAAATTGAGGTCGCGATGCAAGAGAGCCCCAGCGCGACGGGGGGAGAGGACACACACACACACACGCACACACACAACACACACAACACACAACACACACAACACACAACACACACACACAACACACACAGTACAACACAACACAAACAACACACAACACACAAATCACACACAATACACACCACACACAAACACAACACACACAACACACACACACACCACAACACACCACAACACACCACAACACACTCACAACATACACACATAGACACAAACGCACGCACACACACACACACGCACACACAACACACACAACACACACAGTACAACACACAACACACCACAACACACAACACACAACACACACAACAGACACAACACACAACACACAACCCACAACGCACAACACGCAACACACACAACACACAACACACAACACACACACCACAACACACCACAACACACCACAACACACAACACACAACACACACAACATACACACCACACACAACACACAACTCACATAACACACAACACGCACAACGCACAACGCACAACACACAACACACACACACCACAACACACCACAACACACCACAACACACCACAGAGCACCATAACACACCACAACACACCATACCACACCACAGCACACACAACACACCACAACACACCACAACACACCACAACACAACCACACCACACCACAACACAACCACACCACACCACAAAACACCACACCACACAGCACACCACAACACACCACACCACACCACGACACACCACGACACACCACGACACACCACAACACACCACAACACACAACAACACACCACAACACACAACACACAACACACAGAGCGCACAACACACAACACACAACACACAACACACAACATACACAACACACAACACACAACACACAACGCACGCAACTCGCAACACAAAACACACACAACACACAACACACACAACACACAACACACATCACACATCACACAACCCACACACACAACACACCACACACACAGCACACGCAACACACAACACACAACACACAGACACAGACACAGACTCACACAGACACACAGACACACAGACACACAGACACACAGACGCACAGACACACAGACATACAGACACACAGACACACACACACACGCACAGACACACAGACACACAGACACACACACCCCCCCACCCACACACCCCCACACACCCCCACGCACCCCCACACACACAGCCACACACACACCCCCACATCACACACACACACTCACACACACACTCACACACACACACACCCACACGCCCACACGCCCACACGCCCACACGCCACACGCCCACACGCCCACACGCCCGCACGCCCACACGCCCACACGTCCACGGCCGCCCACACCCACACGCCCACACCCACACGCACACGCACACGCACACGCACGAGCACACACGCACACACGCACACGCAAGCACACACGCACACGCACACGCACACACGCACACACACACACACCCGCACGCACACACACACACACACACACACGCACACACGCACACATGCACACACGCACACACGCACGCACGCGAACACGCGCACACACGCGAACACGTACACGCACACACACGAACACACGCACACACGCACGCACACACGCACACACGCACACACGCACACACGCACACACGCACACACGCACACACGCACGCACGCACGCACGCACCCACCCACGTACGCACGCACGCACACACGCACGCACGCACGCACGCACGCACACACGCACACACGCACACACATGCACACACACGCACACACGCACGCACGCACAGACGCATAGACGCACACACGCACACACGCACAAACGCACACACGCACACACGCACACACGCACACACGCACAACACGCACAACACACAGAACACACTGACACACAGACACACAGACACACACAGGCACACACGGGCACACACAGACACACACAGACACACACAGACACACACAGATACAGCCACACAGCCACACAGCCACACAGCCACACAGCCACACAGATACACAGACACACAGACACACAGACACACAGACACACACGCCTCAGACACACAGACACGCAAACACACAGACACACAGACAAATAGACACACAAACACACACAGATACGCCTCAGGCCCAGGCCAAGTTCCGGCATTACCGCCTTTTAGAAGTGGCCCACTGGGTACGGGACTGAGGGCCTGGGGGAATCTCCATGCCGCCCTGGGGCGAGGCCTTCGCAGCCTGGTGGCAGCGGCGCTGCGAGTACGAGCCTGCTGACGACCAGCGGTCTTCGACGACCCTGTCTGCCCGCATGACTTCTACCTCAAGCTATCTTCCTGCAGTTTCGGGCAGGGGCGATCACCCTAGGCACCCGCGCGCTGCTGGCGCCCCCGCGCCTGGAGCATCTCTAGCCTGTGTCACGTTGCCTCTCTCTCCTCCTTCCCCTCCCGCCCGCAGCAGCTCCCCGCGAGGTCCCGCGCACATGCACCGAGGAAGGCTGCGTTGTGTCGTGCGGGGTGCCGTGGAGACTGGCGTTCTTTAGGAACGAGCTCCGCAGCTGACTGAGCAGAGGAGCGGTCTTGAGTAGCGGTCTTCCTGCCCGGGCTGCGACCGTTTAGATGGCCACCGAGTGCTCCCAGTTCGGGTGCGCTTTTTGCTGGCCAGGACCGTGGTCCGTCGTTTAGCTGAGCCCTTGGGGCTCCCATGACGGCGCTGTGGAAAACCGTCCTGCGTGCGCCTGCCCACGCGCACACACCTGCCGCTGGCTGTGTTGCGCTGTGCGGTGCGGTGTTGAGCCGCGCTCCTCCCCTCTCCCTTTCCCCTCCTTCTCCCTCCCCCTCCTTCCTTCCTTTCCCTCCGCCCTTCCGTGTTTCCCTCACGCATCGCCCACACGCATGCACCCGTCGGTTGCTGCAGCGCGATATGCAGTACGACGTCGCATGCATCCCTGCGCAGCCCCCCGGCCCAGGTGGAACCGGCTTGCAGTGTGACGCCGACACCAGTCACCAGCGCTCAGCTGGCATGGCGACTGACGATATCGACCTCGCGCTTGAAGGCATCGCAGCGAAGATCCAGGAGCTGGTGGAGAGGAAGTCCCTCCAGCTCGACGTCTCCCACGCGCTCGCGGGGGTGCAGGCCGTGAGGGCACGCTTCGCTCAGAAGCCTCGGCTGCCAGTGGCCCCGGTCCCCGCCACCAAAGCGTTGATGGCCCTCCTTCGCCGGCCGGACGGGTAGCCCCTGTCATGGGACGGCTCCGGCACGGAGGCCCGTCCACGGTGGCCAAGCCACCTGTTGGCAGTCCTGCAGCGCAGGATGGCGAGCTACCGGGCCAGCTCGCGGGGATCAAAAAGATTCCTGTCCCCTCCCTCGCACAGGTGCTGGCCAAGGAGCGCGCTGGCGAGTTCCCGTCCCGCGACCTGGCGGCGACGCTCTCAGCCACCACACCCTTGGCAACCAAAGAGGCCCCGGCGGAGCGCGCACCGGCCCCTGCGCCATCGCCGATGGCGGCCGCGGCCCCGGGCCTACCTACCAGATGGGCGGCGGCGGTCGACCCGAACAGCGGCCACACCTACCACTACAACACAGGCAAGGGCAAAACTCAATGGGAGTGGTCGGACACGGCATCGGCTCCGCGCAGCCGCAGCCCGCGCCGGAGCCGGCTGAGCCGCTGGGGTGCTCCTGGCACGGCCATGCCGGGGCCGGAGCCGGCCGAGCAGAACCACAACACTTTCGCGGACCTCGCCATTCAGCTGCACGCGGCCCCCCCTGGCCACCATTAGCACCCCTGCCCACGAACTTCTCTCACCCTCTCCGGTTCGCAGGCGGCCCGCATGGCCGGCGGCGCTCCGGACAGCAGCCAGTCAGCTCGTCATCCAGGGCCATCTGACTGCGCGGCCGGCGCTGCCCGCGGGTTGACTCTCCTCCTCGGGGAGGGCCCGGCCGCCACCCCTGACCTCGAGAAGCTTGCCGCCCTCTGCGGCAACGCGTGCACGTGCTATCTCGGCAACGTGGGTGCCTTCGGACTCTTCCTGGCAGCGCACCCAGAGGCAGCAGCGGCACTCCCTATGTGGTGCCAGGCGTCCCCAGCGGCCTCGCAGCCAGCCACCCCAGCGATGCCTGTGAGCACAGGGGCACCCATGGCGCCAGTGCCGCCCACGTCCGAGGCAGGGCCAAGGCAGGGCAGCGCTGCCCCAGCTCCCGGCCGCGGCGGCTCGCGCTCCCAGGGGCAGCAGCGGCAGCCGAGGCAGCCAAGGGGCCAGGCGCGCCTGGTTGAGGGGTGGCGGGAGATCGATTTCGCCGACCTCCGCGCGAAGCATCCGCCGACGGACCCGAGGATGCTTGCGCAGGCCTGGGCCCCCCAGGCCCAGAGGCTGGAAACCTCGCAGAGCATGACCATCCTGAAATCAGTGTCGCCGGCTGGGGCCGACCGGAGGGAGTCCAGGTGGCTGTGGTGGATGGCGCTGGCCGGCGTGGGCTTCTGTCCAGGAGCTGTACGGGTTCACGAGGCTTGCGGGCTTGGCCAACTCCAGCGTGGGTGTGGGAACGCCTGGTCAAGAGGTTGTCCGCACCCGGTTGGGGACGGTGATATGGATGTGCAGAGACAAACGCATATCCACCTCCAGCGGTGGTTCGGAGCTCACTGCGCGACTGGCTCTGGGTTTCCCGACCTACAACCTGGTGGTCGACATAGCAGGCTTCCACCGCGGCCGGATGCCGAGACAGGTCGCGGAGGCGCTGCTGCAGACTGCGTGAAGCGGCCCTAGATGATTGAGGCAGTAGTGCTGTCGCCGCATGCCTCGCTGTCCCCCTTCTTTTCTTCCTGCCTTCAGGGCGGTCTCAAGAGGCTGGTGTTTGTTGCTAATTTTTTGGGGCGAAAGGATGGCTTGAAATGCATTCGTGCTTTGTGCGCTTTGCTCTTCTTTCCCTGGCCGTGGTGCCGATCGGTCGATCCTCTCCAGCAGGTCCTTTCCGCGGCCGTGGAGGCCCCGAACGCTCGACATGAGCGTGCAGTCGCCCTCTTCCCCTCGCTTCCTCCGTCCTCCGCCTCCCTCTGCCTCGTCCCTCTCCCCCGGACTCGTGGTGCCGATCGGTCGATCCTAGCTGTCAGGTCCTTTCCGCGGCCGTGGAGGCCCCGAGCGCTCGACATGAGCGTGCAGTCGCCCTCTTCCCCTCTCTTCCTCCGTCCTCCGCCTCCCTCTGCCTCGTCCCCCCGACTCGTGGTGCCGATCGGTCGATCCTCGCCGGCAGGTCCTTTCCGCGGCCGTGGAGGCCCCGAGCGCTCGACATGAGCGTGCAGTCGCCCTCCTCCCCTCTCTTCCTCTATCTTCCTCCTTCGCTGTCTCCTCCCCCCTCCGCTTCTCCTTCTCTGGGGGGTCCAGGGTGCATGGTCGCCCTGGCATTTAGTTGGCACTTTGGTGCCGCCCGCGCGGCCAGGGAGATGTTCGGCCGCCCGGGACCTGTGGCCGCCCTCATCTCGGGAGCCGCTCCTGGCCCGCGCGCGCCCATTGTCTGCCCGTGGCGCCCGCTCGGCGATAGCTGATGCAGCCACCAGTGTGCCGTTAGTGCCCAGTCAACCGCCGCCTGTCGTTGGTGCGGGTGCTGGGGAGGAGTGCCTGTTTTCGACCGCGCGTGCTGGTTCCCCCCTCTCCCTCCTCCTCTGCCTCCTGCTGCGGTCTTCCCCCTCTTCTTCCCTCCACGGCTGCTGCTGGTAACGACTACGTCCTGTTTCCCAGCTCCCGCCACGCACAGTGCTCTGGTACCTACTCGTCCCCCCCCACGGGCACGCCCTGGGGAACAAAACAGTCACCAAAGGTTTTGGGTGAGTGTTTTTTCCCAAACATCCTGTTGTGTTGGATCCTCGTTTTGAAGAGACAGCGCCCCGCGTTCCTTCCTCCTCCCGCTGCCCCCTCCCCCTTCAAATCATAATCATCATCACCATCATCATCATCACCATCATCATCATCACCATCATCATCATCATCATCATCATCATCATCATCTTCGCCATCCTCCTCATCATCATTACCGATCTCGGCCCCGCCCCATTTTGGTACACCCCAATTTGGCATCTCTCAAGAGGAGCGTGACCCCATAGGAGCTCCACCGAAGGCGCCAGTAGCAAAGTTCTTATGGCGGCCCCGGGCCATTTCGTCACACCCGTCACGAGGATCGTGGCCTCATATGAGCTCCACCGAAGGCGCCAATAGCAAAGTTCGCATGGCGGCCTCGGGCCATTGTGGCACACCCCACACGAGGATCGTGGCCCCATAGGAGCTCCACCGAAGGCGCCAGTAGCAAAGTTCGCATGGCGGCCCCGGGCCATTGCGGCACACCCCTCACGAGGATCGTGGCCCCATAGGGAACTCCACCGAAAGCGCCAGTAGCAAAGTTCGCCTCGCGGCCTCGGGCCATTCGGCACACCCCTCACGAGGATCGTGGCCCCAAATGAGCTCCACCGAAGGCGCCAGTAGCAAAATTCGCATGGCGGCCTCGGGCCATTTCGGCACATCCCTCACGAGGATCGTGGCCCCATAGGAGCTCCACCGAAGGCGCCAGTAGCAAAGTTCGCATGGCGGCCTCGGGGCATCTCGGCACACCCGTCACGAGGATCGTGGCCCCATATGAGCTCCACCCAAGGCGCCAGTAGCAAACTTCGCATGGCGTCCTCGGGCACACCCCGCACGAGGATCGTGGCCCCATATGAGCTCCACCGAAGGCGCCCGTGGCAAAGTTCGCCTCGCGGCTTCGGGCCATGTCGGCAGACCCCTCACGAGGATCGTGGCCCCATAGGGAGCTCCACCGAAGGCGCCAGTAGCAAAATTCGCATGGCGGCCTCGGGCCATTTCGGCACACCCCTCACGAAGATCGTGGCCTAATGGGAAGCTCCGCCGAAGGCCCCAGCGGCAGGGTTCGGATGGCGTCCTCGGGCCATGTCGGCAGACCCCTCACGAGGATCGTGGCCCCATAGGGAGCTCCACCGAAGGCGCCGGTGGCAGGGTTCGCATGGCGGCCTCGGGCCGTTTCGGCACACCCCTTACGAAGATCGTGGCCCCACAGGAAGCTCCGCCGAAGGCCCCAGGTGGCAGGGTTCGCATGGCGTCCTCGGGCCATTTCGGCACACCCCTCACGAGGATCGTGGACCCATAAGGAGATTCGCCGAAGGCGCCAGTGGCAGGGTTCACATGGCGGCCTCGGGCCGTTTCAGCACACCCGTCGCGAGGATCGTGGCCCCATGGGAGCTCAACCGAAGGCGCCAGTGGCAAGGTTCCATGGTGGCCTCGGGACATTTCAGCACACCCTCACGAGGATCGTGGCCCCACAGGAGCTCCACCGAAGGCGCCAGTGGCAGGGTTCGCATGGCGGCCCCGGGCCATTGCGGCACACCCCTCACGAGGATCGTGGCCCCATAGATGTGCTGCTTCAGCAACCGCGCCTGGGCGTCGTGCTCCGCCTTATCGACGTGCAACGCCACCTCTTCCCTCATGGCTCTCAAAACCCTCTCCCGCTTTTGCTCCTCGGTCAGGGGGACGCCGTCCTTGTCGTCGTCGGCGCCCGCGAAAACGGCCACGAACGTGTTGCTGAGCATGTCGAGCTCCGGCGGGAAGCCGTGGCCACATAGGGGGCGCGGGCGAAATCGGTATTCACAATTGCGGTATTCACAACTGCATATGGTTGGGCCCTTCGCCAGGCATTTTTTTTTTAGGGGGGGGGGCGTTTTTGCCCGCCAAGTGACCTCCACCAAGTTTGTACTAGCACCTGGGTTCACCTGTCCCCACCGCGCGGCCGATGCTGGTACCGCTGCTGTGGCTACTCATGCATGCAGGGGGCAAGCCCCATTCCACAATAACGCATGTCTCTCTACATGATCGTGCTAACTGTGCGCTCGCTCGCGCTCAGCGCCCAAGGGAGAGCCTTAACCTGTTTAGTCTTCCTGGTGGAACTTGTATTGTGAAACCGCGTCTCGTTCAGTTCTTTCTGGCAGACCTTGTACATTGAAGCCGTACATGTCTACTCGCCCCGGCGTGCATTCGGCGCGTGCAAACCGAAGGGGGAAGGCCACGTTCGTTATGCCAGGGCCCGCGGGAGATCCCTTCTCCGAGCCAGCCGTCGAGAGAGCATACGTCGTTGAACCAAGTGGGAAAATTGTGCCTCCCACAAGCATGCACCCGACGGGGGATGTGTTGCGCCGTGTGGAGCGGCGTGGTGCTGCCTCCTGCCTCCTCCTGTGTCCCCGTTCCGCTTTTCCTCTCTGCCCCTGCTTCCTGCCCTCTTCGTGGCCCCCCTTGCCCTCCTCCCCTTTCTCCCTCTATCCCCCCCTCTTCCTCCGCCTCCTGCCTGGCCTTCTGCCTCCTCTCCGCTTTTCCTCATTGGCCCTGCTTCCTGCCCTCCTCGTGGCCCCCTTGCCCTCCTCCCCCTTTTTCACACGCACGCACGTGCGGCTCAAACACGCTCTCTCACCCACCCGCGTTCCCACATGCTACCGTGAGCCTTGTGCGGAGTCGCGCGGTGCAGGTGCGCCCCATCACGCCGCCCGGAACCGACTGACACCCACCCTCGCCGAGACTGCGCGCACACAGCACGAGCTGCATGTAGCGCTTGGCCTGCAGCACCGTGGTTGTCTTGCGTCGCGTGTGTTTGTGCAAAGCCTGGGTCCCCCAGTGCGGGGATGGGGCTGGTCCTGGCGGTTGGGTGCCTTGGCGCGCGGCTTGGGCTGAAAAGGTGAGAAGATACGGCGTCCCGCAGTAGGCGGGGGAACGAACGAACGAACACACACAAACAC